TCATTTCACCGGACCATTAACACAACACTATTTTAGATGATTTTGCATCCATCGTCTTGGTATTAAAATGCTTTCATCTCTGTGCCTGAATCCTGCTTGTGCTTACTTTAAGAACTGAAGTTTCAGTGAAATCCTTCTGTTTACTATGCAATTATGGGGCTTTATGGGGCTCATTCCTAGGAAATGTGCAGTGATAGTCACAAAACAAGGTTGGATTGTTGTTGCCATCTGCTGGGGGCATTGTGTTAGTTCACAAAAAAAATTCAAGGGGTAAAATCCAAAACTGGATTGTTTTGAAAATAAAACAAATGTGTTTTTTGCTTGGGAACGCTTCATTAAGAAATAAGTACAACATCGGCAGTAATGTGTAAGCACTCTACCAAAGGAATTGGTTTGGAAAACATAAAAAATAACATAATGTGCCTGGGATTTCCGTAGGGCTCAAACTCACTACTTGGAAAATTGATTCTGTGTTTCCCATTGATAGTTATAAAAATAAATAGTTATTTAAAAAAAAAAAATCCCACAGGAACTTAAGGGGACTTAATCACGCCAAATTTCCAACTAAAATGTGCAGGTATTTTCTGCTTTGCTTCTTACAATTTTTTAGTTAAATAAAGGGGGGGGGGAGTTTACAATCAAACTTCCCTATAATGAGCTAATTAGATCTAGTAAGTTTTAAATTAAAATGTTCAGATTTTGTTTTCAATAGAAAGAGCCTCTTTTGAGATTTCCAGGAAAAATTCACATATGTATTTTGAGGGCAACTCTTGCAAAATGGCCCAAAGTCACTTAGGTGAGATAGGTGTGTAGACATTTTATAAATAAATAATATTCCAGTACACAAATAGTCGTAACCAAAAAAACTGTAAATATTCATAAAGTTGTATGTTATCATTTGTGGAGTAGGGACGCTGCAAATAGGAACAGGACTATTATATTTGCTGTCTTGAGTTATTTATAAAAAATAATCAAGGCGGATTAAAAAGTATCTTAAAAAAATGGATTGTATGTGAATTGCCTTTCTTTAACCCCCGGTTATTTTAAATTGTGTGTGCAAGTGTGTGCATGGTAATTTGTACAAACTATCTATACATCACAGGTATATCTTAGCCAAGATGGCAGGTTTCAAACAAGCATAGTCATAAATATCAGATACGCAGATACTGTGAGAACCTTATTTTGAAACTGGCTTACTTGGCAGAAGTCTTGCACATGATTTGGCAAGATTAGTATCTTTATTGCAACAGAAAAGAAATGAATCCATAAACACTGGGAAGATTTCAGAACAATGGCAGAACCAAGAAATCAAAGCCTTTAATGAAGACTACACTGCTGGTTTTCAATTCTAACCTTTTTCCTGCTACCTTTCTAAACCGATAAACAACTCTAGATGGCCATAGAAGGCACCTGATCATTGTTGGTATGATGGTATTTTGTAGTATGGGAACTACTATTGTTCCTGCTTTATTTACTTCATTTCTTCCCCCACTCCCCATTAAAGAATTTTGGTAAATCAGAAGAGGTTTGTTTTTAACTCAAATGCCGCCAAATTTATTTTAGTAAATTTTTTTTTTTTATTTATTAAATTTGTTAGCTACCCATCTCTTGACAAGGGGACTCTGGGTGGTTTACAACATTAAAAAAAATCATAGAAAGCAGAACACAACAAGAATGATAAGGAGCAGGGAGACAAACCCCATCATCTTCTAATTACCTGTCCTGGGTTGCAAAGTCTTCAGCTCTCAGGCTTGTCCTTGAGAGAGGAAAAAGTAATAAAAAGTACTGGACAGTGATAAAAGTACATAGTAACGTATTAATTCAGTACTTTTATAAAGCACAAGAATTGGAGGCTTTGGAAAAAACCTTCCACCATAATTATAATCTATAAATCAGGAAAACTCAATTTTATACTTTCTATGCTTTTTTCCCCCTTTAGTGAAAAGAAAAATTGGAGATATAAAGTAATTTCACAAGGAGACACAGACTTATCACATGCATACAGGACTAAGTCATAAAAATTATGGCTTAAGTATAGCATATCCCTCCATTGTAGTTTACTTTTATATGCAACTCAGACAAATATGGATTACTGCACTAAAAGAATTTTGGCTTAACGTTTGTGCTAAATGCAACTATTTCCTGTGTCTCTCTCAGTAAGATGAAGGTCTAGGCCAGGGATTGCCAACCTTTTGGACTTCAGGGACCACCAAACTCATAATTTTAAATCCCAGGGACTGCTAACCGGTTCTGTGGGCGTAGTCCAATTTGTGGGTGTGGCTTGGTGGTCATGTGACTGGCTCAGCATGGCTTATATGTAAATATTATAAATATTTATATAAATATTGATTTTTTTATAAAAAAAGAGCAACTTTTCCCCAAAATCAGGCAAAGCAGGCAGGCAGATTGAGTTGCTCACAGAATCACTGAATCACTTAGAGATCTGTGTTCCTGCCATCGGCTAGCTCAGTCTGCACTGCTTCAGTCCTAAGGAAGGTTCAGCTCTCTAAAGGTTAGCTAGAAAGCAAGAAATGCAACAATTTCCTGCTTTCTAGCTAATCTAAATCTCCTAGCACAGCAGAATAGCTGATGGTCGGAAAAAGGAAAAACAGCAATTTAGCAGGCAAGTTTGCCCAGTAAGGAGTGGGTGGGGAGGGTTCCCAGGGGCCATGTAGGCAGCACAGCCTTGTGTTCCCGCGCAGCCTGGATTAATTGCTTTGGGGGGGAGGGCTTTGCAGGGACATTTCTCTGCAGACCACCAAAATTTTCTCACGGCCACCAGTGGTCCCCAGCTCACCGGTTGGCAACCACTGGTCTAGCCTACATGGAACTCCTGAGTTTTTCCAAAACAGATTACGGTTGTGGCGAACACCAGTGTCAATGTGATAGGTTTAGGAAGACAGCAACAGCAATTGCACTTAAACTTATATACATTCCAAAGTGCTTTACTTTACAGCATCCTCTGAGCGGTTTACAAATATCAGAATATTGCTCCCAACAATTTGGGTCATTTTACCAACTTTGGAAGGATGGAAGGCTGAGTCGACCTTGAGCTGGTCAGGATTGAACTCCTGGCTGTGGAGTGTTAGCCTGTAATATTGTGTTTTAACTACTGTGCCACCGCAGCTCCTAGATATTAGATTGGGATTATGCAGAACAATGTTCAGGGCCTATTTTAACCATGAAGGCTAATTGGGCTCTTTGGACTGTTTAACCCCAATGACAGAGTTATTGCAGTGGGGGAAAATAGAGGGTTGGTACATATACTATGGTAAGCTCCTAGAAGAAGGGCTTGATGTAAATCTATAGATTAAATGAATCAAAATAAATGTTCAGTCCTAATAAGAATCACCATTAAACAAGTCTTCAATTAACCACATCACTATTTTTTAATTTTTTTTTAACATGGCCCAGTATAGTACTTTTGGATATGCTCATTATATTTTTATGAATCTTTCAATTTAGTCAAAACTATTTTCCCAAAAAGGTACTTTTTCCCATCAGAATGTGATAGAAAATATTTTCAAAATATTCCCAAGAACTACTGTGCCTTCTAATTTTGTTAAATTTGCAGGATACCGCCTCATCAAATATAAAATGACTTATTCTGGCTGATAGGTAAAACAAAAGCATGTGGATGTTAAATATAGTTTTGATATTTCTTAGGGCAAATGATTTACATGTCTTTGCTCATTTCCACCCCAACCTCCCAATTATATACATTATGTACAATTATGTATATAATTATAACACTCTACATGCTTTTTGTTTATATCTTTTTGACAGTTGTCTTCACTCCTATTTCCCATTCTATCCCAATCACTCTATCTTGTTTTTTTATTTCTCACACAATGTACAGTAATTCTGTCTGTTTCATTGTGCTCCAAAGTGCACTGTATTGCCAAATGACATCAGTTTCCCTATTAAAATATTGGCCTTTGTCTAGCACAACGCTCGTTCTCTCATCTTCCATTGTCTCATTTCACTTTCAGAATTATTTACATCTTTCATTGTTCCAATATAATTTGCAAAATGCCTTGCCTTTCCACTCTACATCCAACATTCCTTCCTGAAATTTTACTTATTGGCACTAGCTCCTTAAATCAGCTTCTGGGTTGTGATCAAAATCTCTGGAGATCATTTATTGTGGAAGAATGGTCTATCTGGTAAAAATGAGAAGTCTGTGAAGTCTCTGCATCAGTTCTTAATTTAATCAGAGAATTACTGCATGGCTAATGGCCATAAACACTCTTTATTCCTTGGTTTATCTGGTTTCATATTTTGTATACATTTGCAAAAATTCTTATAGACAGGACAAAAGCAATGATAAAAATAAAACTAGGAAATCTATCTATCCAGGTTTTGAATGATTGATTTTTTTATCTTTCTGTATTCTGTCATTCTACTTAAGTAGGATTGGTGCATTTTATTTCTTTTGGCATGTTTCTCAAATCCACATATTCATGATTTCGATCATAATTCAAAGTGTTGTATACAGAAAATCCCCTCAAATATACCCGCTGTTAGAAAAGGTCACTATCAGAGGGTCTCTTTTTACGTTGGTTGTCAAGTGATCTTACCTCAGCCTATGTGTGTGACTCTGTGTGTGTGTATTACTGATTACTATAATTACTATAATCTTATATAAGACCAACCTCAATTTTGGGCTTAAAGGGGTTAGAAAGGGATATGCCCTTCTGAAATTAATCATGAACGTAATGAGAATAATGATAATTGCAGGAGCTAAAGTATATAGCATGGGTACAATAAACTGCACATCTGAAAAATGCAAAACAATAAATGACAGCTTTGGAGTTTGGCAATAGAAGAATATATAAGGTCATTTCTATTCAAAGAACAGAAGAGAAGGTATAACTTAACCAGAACGTTTTCATCATTGTTCTTCAAGGGAAAGAGAGTTAATGAAACATAACAGCATCCATGTGTAGTTGTTTAAAAGTCTTCAATATAAAAAAATGAGCATGAAAATAAAACAAGGGACAAGAAGATTTTTTTTAAATTTCATTGTTTCTTCACTGTCAATACTGTCTTTTCAAAGCAACATGTTACAAACAAATCCTGTCAACTTTTCCCAGTTTTAAACAGCAACAATATTTACAGGCTGTTTCAAACAACATACACACATCCACACGCTCATACTCTCACTGACACATACAAAGGACACATAACCCTATCCCTGGCAAGTTCTCCATATGCTGGTAAATGCAAAGCACATATTCCATTTTCCAACTCATTTTATCTTCACCCTCCCATTATTTAAGGTAATAATTAGCAGTTCATTATCTGGCCGAGTTCATAAAGAAGTAACAAGTCTGATTTGTAACCTCTGTGACTTTTGTCATCCATTTGGGTTGTCTGTAAAGTAAGTAAAAATATCTAAATGGTATTTTCAAATATGTTTGCTGATGAACGGTGTATACAAATCTATGAAGCCTTTTAGAGCAGCCATCTTTTAAAAAAAATTAAGGAAAACTACATGTGGGCAGTAGCTCCCACCAAGGTCTTATGTACTCACCACCATTTTACTAAGGCACACATTAAATACTGCTATAATTCTTATACTGTCTAGCATTGCGGGGCTAATGGCATCAAGTTACCAATCACCAAGTAGGACCAGACAAGTAGAACTTATATAATAGGTAAGAAAAATCTCTCTTAATAAAATTAGGTATATAAAACCTGGTGGCTGAACCTACAACTAATATGAAATATTTAGGTATGCTTTGAAAAGCTCTTTCAATTGCACTAATCCACTGGTAGAGTTATTACAACTTAAAATATATGGAACTGAAGGGCTGGCATCACTGCTTCATGTCATCTGTTAAGAAGGCATTTCAGTGTCAGTTTGGGTAAAATGTGTCCCCAAAACTACATTTTCAAAGGCCTCTTCCATAACACTCTGTACCATCTATTAAATATTTTCACATAACATTGCAACTAGTCATTCTTCAACAGCAGCAAGCATGGGTAGAAAAAGCAACAAAGGGAAAAAAAAACACCACCTTGTAAAAGTTATAATTTTTCAAAAACATTTCCTTCCCTCCATATCTATTTCCTAGGTTACAAGAACATATACAGAATATTGAGCAATTTAAGATTTTGTACTTTATGAAAATTAAAGCATTTCACGAGGTAAAAGAAATTTCTCCTTTAATTTCCCAAAATATTAACTGGGAAGCTAAGTATATGTCTGTGATTTTACATTAAATTAGTGCCTAGTTGGATTATCAGTTTATTATGCATATATTTATAAACATTGATAATAGGCAAATTAACTTTCATAAACTTTTTCTACATAAATATTATAGCTTAATCTAGAAATTAATTTAGTGTGTTACTAGTTTTGTACAAGGCTTAGTATCAAATGCAAAAAAAATTGTACAGTTTTCAGAATGCCTGTCCCAACTATTTGGAGAAAATAAATGAAGAAAGCTACCAAGTCCATATATGAAAAGCTGCAAAACAATTAATTTGGCTTCCAAGCTCATATACCGCAACAAGCAAAGAAAAAAATTTCAAAAACACTAAATAGTTAATCCTACATAAAAGATCATCTACCAATTTATTGGAAGATGAACATCTTAAAAATCTTGAAATAAAACTAGATATATATATTCTCATGAATGCTAATTAGATGAGATTTATATCTAACAAAGATGTGATTGAGATTGTGCTAATCAAGTAATTTGTTTTCAATTGTTTAAACTAAATTTATCACATTCTAAATGAATGTAGATATAATCATACCGGAAATCTCGAAATTATCTTTTCTTTCAATATAACAGTACCTATTTAGTTTCAAATGTAGTCAGTAACTGTGGAGTATCCTATGTCACAGAGTGGCATTTTTGTTCTTATTAATAATTAAAAATATCTTATCAGAAAAATCCAATTTTCCATATTACAGTGTTCATTGCCTCATTCAAGCTAACCTTCAAAAACACTCTTTATCAATGGATTTAATATATTCAAAATGACTGATTAATCTTTTTGAAAAGTAGATTGCATTTTCTTTCTATTATTGAGAAAGTCAAAAACATAAATGAATATTTAATTGTCAACTAAAATGTGAAGAGAGATGTCTGACAAAAACTCAGAAAACGGTTTTTCTCTTGTTCATAAAATGATGAAAATGTGATAGCATCAGGGTTTAAACTGAGGGCATTCAGACATTAGCGGGTGGATGTATATTTTACCAGAACAGCAAAATCTTTTTGAACCTTTTTTCTATATTTTATTATAAATGCTGCTTCCCTCCCAAATTTTGTGGGTTTCAGATACTTGCAAGAATTATCTGCAGCAGTGAACAGCTTTGCAAAGTATGGTCAAGATTGTAATACAGTGAGAATGGCATTTGGATTTTATTTTACTTTACTTTAATATATTTAGCAAGCTGCAAAGGCTGTTTTTATGGTATCAGATTGTTCCTGTTATGACATTTGACCATGTTCATTCATTAAGTGTACAATGGTTATGTTTCACTGCAATTTCTTGCTTGTAAGATCACCCATGCATAGGAATAGTTCAAAAATAAAAGATGGCTGCTTCTAAAAGCTACAACTGCAAATTATTCTGTTTCCCACTGAGCTCAGAGTTTCAGAAGGAAACAACCACTACATATAAAACTTTCCATTAACATTGTGAGCAAGTCATAGAAACAGCAAGATAAAAAATTGCAACTTTGTCCCCTTTCTCTGTTGGTGTTTGAGTAACTTGTTTCCCTGAAAACACACACTAAAAATTCCAATCAGTAAAAATCAATGATAAGCAACATAAATCAGTTTCACAGTTATATGCAAAGTACAATTATTACAGAATATATAATTATTGAAAATAAATTCAAGTCACAAAACATAATAGCAACTAAAGGGAGCTAAAACGCAAAATGATACAGATAATATGATACAACATGCCTTCTGATTTTTATCCTTTATTTTTTAAAAAAAGTAAACTATTTTGCTTAATAAAGGAGTAAGTCCCAAAACAGAGATAAAGTCACAACCTTATTTAAAACAATGTATCTCATCCAGTTTTCCATAAAAAGAAAAGCAAAGGAGCCCAGTAATATATTTTTGTTGACTCCATATTGGAAAGTAACAAAAGTAGAGGAAGAAAATGCACAATTGTATGATTGAGTCTGTTATGTAAAAAGACAAACTTTACACTATCAATTGGTTTCACCGTGAGTTAGGCTTCCCTGGAGTTTTATTATATAATTACTGGTTAATCCATCATATATTGTAAATAGGACAGAATAAATAAATTGTTGGGCATTTTTTTAGCCAAAAATGAACCAATAGTATTTCCTACCATCATATGAATACGGAGAAAGTGGCTAATCCCAAAGGCAATTTAAATAACGGTATTTTCTTTTATATCTATCTATATATATATTTATATCAATAAATGTTCTGAGCAATCTCAGATTTTTGTAGTGCATTGCCATAAAAAAAAAATAGTGCAGTTTTCTCAACGATCTTTTTTTTTCAACTTAGAAGAAATAAGAACTTTAAAATCTGGTTACGCTTGCAGTAAATGAAACATTCTATTCAGCTTCACACTGACCTCGACATTTATACAATTTTCAGCTGCTTTAAAAAATGAACTGAATCTACATTGAGACAAAAATTTTTTGGCAAGATAATTAGAAAGATGAGATGCTCCTGTTTTGAAACTTGGAAAATGTGGGGTTGTTTTAAAGCATTGCAATGGATAAAATAATGGATAAAGCAAAAGATATATCCTGTTTACCCTTCGTGCACAATATTTTCTTCAGTAGCTAACTTGAAAAATATCATAAGCACCCTCTTAATTCTTTTGGAGACTGACATCTACTCTTAAGTTCGTGTTCAAGTCTCTTCCTTTTACTTGAGCTGTTAAGAGTATCCTTTTGAGGCTCCTTATTTTATACCTAAACATTATGGAGATGACTAGATGTTAATTGTCGAAGAAGGTCACACTTCAGCCCCAAGTTCCAGGACTCCAGTTTCAATCACTGCAACATATTTGTCTTCAATTTGGACGAGCAAGATGGTTTTGTCTATATGGGACCTATGCCCTGGATCTCTGCTGCAAGGCACCCAACGGTGAATCACCTAACAGGGATAGGAAGCAAATATATATATATATATATTTATATATTCAGCAGTAATACTATAATTTTATCATTCTGAAGTAGTACATGCAGGATGTGTGAGAAGATCAAGATTAGGCTTTCAGGTCTTACTTATCTATGTTGTTGCTCCAGCACAGAAACTATTTTGATTCTACTCTTGAAAGTTATTGGCAAGAACCTCCTCTGCTATAAATACTGAGAATAACATAATAATAGAAATATTATCGTATTTCACAGGAGAAAATACCTTCTAAAAAGCATTCAGAACTGAAACAAGGGACAGGAAATGTCATACTTTGGTAAATAAATGCATTTCTTTATGTATATTTCCCTCGTGGATTTAACATACTATGCTCTTACCTCCCAAGAAACTATGCAGAATTGGTTGGGTCTTAAGTTATGATGCAAATTCCTGTCTATCGTTATAATTTAGAATTTGTAAAATTAGCTTTTTCTTACTTATCCACTTTTTGAATTCACACGTAATCAGTATAACCGCTGAGCATGCCAATAGCAAAGGCGGCTGAGAAATGAAACTTACATGGCCTTCCATGCCTTCTTGAGGATTCCAGTCTTTCCAGCTGTTTCTTCCAGCTCTTAGTCTTATCATTTCATCTGGCCATTGCAGTTCTTTTCTTTTGGATAAGTTGATCCCTTCCAAAACCTGGCTAGGATCTATTATCTAAAAAAGAAGCAGCTTAAAATTAATGAGTTTGAAATGCCCCATTTTGAAGAAGTTCAAAACTTTTTCAACTCGAAATGTTTTGCATATACCCCCCAAGTATAATTTGACTCCAAACACTATAAACCACAGACAGCAAAATAAGAAGGGAGATGTGTTTCCACAACCTTTAGAGAGCCACAGGTTTCACACTCCTACAACTAGTTTGAGTAGAACACAGAGGAAATGTGATATAATTCAAAGTTTCCCATTAATGCTTTTCTTAGCTTCCAGACTTGGGTCATCAAGCTGGGACCTCAAACCAACACTAGACAAACAAACTTATTTAATGTAAAAACACTGAAATGTAGAGAATCAAAGAAACAAATAATTGCTTAATTCCCCACCTAATAGCATTGTGATAGCATTATAGAAAGCTGTTGAAACAGCTTTAATACTTAACTTACAGCATATTTTTTGTGAAATAAAAAGATTTTTATTCCCTAACCATATCTTTGCCTTATTCATTCTCTATTCTTTAGCAAATGTACACCTGGAAGCACCATTTTCAAAGTATAGCCCAAGAACAGTGCAGCCCTAGAGAATACCAGCTGTTAAGATGTGTTACATCTGAAAAACTATTAGAATTAGTTCTTCATTCAACAGTGTTGCATTCCAGAAGTGTAGGGAAAATTAAAAAATTAAATACTTAACTGTCCAGGCATAAAAACAGTCATTAGATAATAAAGGGGATATAAACCAGATCAATTCCTACATTTCATGTACCTGAATTCTGTAAACAACATCATCCCTTTTGGTTTGTGTCTGGTTCACAGGGCTCACATTTGTGCCTGCCTGTGAATCAGTGACATTTGTCATTCCTTCGGTCCCTAAAAAGCCAACAAGGGCATGTTGTTTGCTGGCTGGGATGCTCTGACTGGAACTGCTTGAAGAAGGGAGACCATGCTGCATACTGGCAACACCAGTCTGGTTAGCGGGTTCCATCTGGTTCACCATGGACAGACGGGACTGTATGGACGATGGAAGATTGCGAAGGGAAAGCTGGCTGGTGGAAGACCGTCGGCAAGGCACAAAGCCTGTGGTGGATGTCCGGAGGGATGAGTGACGACTGCTGTAGCAGTAAGTTGACTGGCTGGCAACTGAAGCACGAGCTGGGGAATGTCTGATAAGGCTTGACTGCACAGAATGAGCACTCTGGCTGGTGCCTAAAAATAAAATATATGAGCAAGAATAAATGAAGTTATTATATGCTATATAATGGTGTGTGTGTGTGTGTGTGTGTGTGTGTGTGTGTGTATGTATGTGTATTTATTATAGGCTATAGTTTGTTTATTCCAGGGATGTAAATTTGAATGGAAAATTGGAAAAGCTATTGACTTGGATGTTGTTTAAAATTCAAATTAGATTCTGGATCAATTCCTTTTAAAAGCAGCAATGCCTATTAACTGATTTCACATACACTGGAGAAAATGTGTTTGATAACTAAATAGAAGTCCCTTCAACTTTATTCAACAATAAATTTAATTACCACCGCCCCTTTCCAGGTCTTTTAAGCCTGATGCTCTTAATCACTGGAAGTCAGGCTGTTTCATCACTGGGGTATTCTAAGAAGAGACTGACAGTCACTTGTCTGAAATAGTATAGAGTCTCCCTATACTATTTGAGCAGAGGGTCAGACTAAAAGACCTCTAAGGTCCCTTCCAGCTCTATTCTGATTGATTGATTGATTGACTATTGCTCTGTATGATAGTTGTCAAAATGTCAGCAGCAGTTTATTTGTTCTGGATATTTTAGTTTTGGATATTATCATATGAGGAACAATAAGGCATAAATAAATCTGTTTAATTTGTGTAGTTGGTTTCTACAAAGAACTTCCCACATAGTGAAAAATAACCCTAATAAACTATTTAAGATGGTCTTGACATAATGTGCAAAATAAATTCAGACCTTTCATTGGGTAATGAAATGCAAATGTCATATAATGTAATTAATTAATTAATCATTAAATTGATTTACATATGAAAAATATGATGAGTTGTTGGGTTCAAACAATAAAAACAGCATAAGGGAAGTGAAAAACAAACAAGGACTACCAAGAATGGATCCAATAAAAACAGAAACTACTCAAAAGGCCATCTAGCCTCTCAACCCCCAAAACCTGAAGTACATTCTAGTTTTAACACTTTTTAGTGCTGGCCTTATGGAAAGCTAGCAAAGTTGGAGCCAATCTGGTCTTGGGGAATATGGCTTTCCATAGAGTAGGTGCTGATGTCACAACAGTGATTGGTCTCATTCGAGACGACGAATCTGCATACAGATAGGAGGTGATACAACTTGCCTCGTGGTGTAACCGGAACAACCTGAACTGAACATACTCAAAACCGTAGAAATGGTGGTAGACTTTAGAAGAAAACTTCCCATACCACCACATCTTACAGTACTAGGCAACACAGTATCAACAGTAGAGACCTTCAAATTTCTAGGTTCTACTATATCACATGACCTAAAATGGACACCTAACATCAAAAACATCATCAAAAAAGCACAACGAAGAATGTTCTTTCTGCGCCAACTCGAAAAGCTCAAACTGCCCAAGGAGCTGCTGATATAGTTCTACAAAGGAATTATTGAGTCTATCATCTGCACCGCTATAAACTGTCTGGTTTCGTTCTGCAACCCAACAGGACAGACACAGACTTCAGAGGATAATTAGGACTGCAGAAAAAACAATTATTACCCACCTGCCTTCAATCGAGGACCTGTAAACTGCACAAGTCAAAAAGAGGGCTGTGAAAATATTTACAGACCCCTCACATCCCGGACATAAACTGTTTCAACTCCTTCCCTCAAAACGACGCTATAGAGCACTGCACACCACAACAACTAGACACAAGAACAGTTTTTCTCCGAAAGCCATCACTCTGCTAAACAAATAATTCCCTCAACACTGTTCAACTATTTACAAAGTGTACACTACTATTACTGTTAATCTTCTCATCACTCCTTATCACCCATCCTCTCCCACTTGTGATTGTAGGACTGTAACTTGACTATTTCCTAGTATGATTTGATTGCTTATTGTACCCTATGATTATCAATAAGTGTCATACCTTATGATTCTCGACTCTTGACGAATGTATCTTTTCTTTTATGTATACTGAGAGTATTTACACCAAGACAAATTCCTTGTGTGTCCAATCACACTTGGCCAATAAAGTATTCTATTCTATTCTATTCTATTCTATTCTATTCTATTCTATTCTA